ATATATTCACACACACCATATATATATATATATATATATATATATATATATATATATATATATATATATATATATATATATACTGAGTGTAATAGCAAAATTGTCCAAATTATGTAACAGCATATTTGTCCACCCCCAAAAAGTTTAATATATAATAAAACACTACATTAATTGAGTTTCTTTTTTTTTTCAAGTTTTCAGATAACATGTTTAGCCATCTTGACACCGTTTATCGTGAGAGTCATTGAGAAACCTTTTTAGTTCTTCAGGTAGAAAGAGAACAGGTTAATATCGTTTCTTTCAGTCCCACTGTCTTCGCAACTGAGCAATGGTAAGACAAAAAAGATCATTCAGACCTTCACTAAAGGTACCAACATTCATACTCTAGCTCCCATCTTCAAAGTCCATTCAAGAACCATCAAGAGAACGGTGAATAAGTTTAAAAAAGAGGGAACAGTAGAGAGGAAGACTGGATCAGGAGGTCTTAATAGGAAGAGGGATCATCATTTCAAGCTAGCGCTAAAGAGATCAATTAGAAAAGATCCAACTTAATCCAAGAGGCGTTTGTCACTTGAGAGAGAGGTCCAAAAAGCAGTGAAAAAAGACTTGAAAATGAAATCGTACATGAAACATGTGAGGCAACTTGTTACTCCGGGATAGAAAGTCATAAGGTTATAGAGAACGAAGATAATCTTGAATAAGTTCGAAAATGATCATGGAATAATATATATATATATATATATATATATATATATGTGTGTGTGTGTGTGTGTGTGTGTGTGTGTGTGTTTGAATTTTATATCAGTCCTTCATGAGAGCTTCTGATTCTTAGCCATGATTAATTAATGATGACCATGTCATTTTCGTTTATTATCGATTTCATCACGATTCTTCTGTTAAGCTTGGAGAGTAGTACATTTTTATTGACCAATGTAGAGTCCAATAATGTTATAAAAACCTCGTAGATTTCCAGTAAGATATCTTTAATCATTTCTAAAATACAACGGTTCAAATCTTAATCTAACAATTGAAGAATTTTGCTGTTACACGATTTGGATAATTTTGCTGTTACACCCGGTCTCTCTCTCTCTCACTCACTCTCTCTCTCTATTCATATATATATATATATATATATATATATATATATATATATATATATATATAGTGTAACCCGGATATAAGAGAAACCTGGATATAAGAGAGATTTTCTCTGGTCCCAAATTAGAGCCTGTGTTAATGTATATAAAATAGACCAAACCCGGATATAAGAGAAACCCGGATATAAGAGAGGATATAAGGATATAAGAGACTTTTCATTTGAATATTTAAAAAAAATGTTAAGTTTAATGTCATTTTCGAAAGTGAACCTTTTGTAAAAGAATATTATTTTATTTTTCGCCTTTTAACAATTATTTGGTATGGGTGTACAACAGGGAAGTAATTATGATATCCTCGGGTTGATTCACTACTATTCAATATATGATATTAATCAAATTTCATCTCCCTTTCAGTTAGTACAGTGTAACCCGGATATAAGAGACCCGGATATAAGAGAAACCCGGATATAAGAGAAACCCGGATATAAGAGAGATTTTCTCTGGTCCCAAATTAGAGCCTGTGTTAATGTGTATAAAATAGAACAAACCCGGATATAAGAGAAATCCGGATATAAGAGACTTCTTCTCCGGTCCCGATAACTCTCTTATATCCGGGTTACACTGTATAAAAATAAAAGTATTCATTATACTAAGTTTAATTAAAGCGTCTAAAATAACATATATATATATATATATATATATATATATATATATATATTCTTAAGCTATTGGGCATATAATGTTAAAGGAAATTTAGTTTTAAATCTAAATAACAAATTCTTTTTTATAGTACTGCCGGTCTTTAGATTTAATTTCTATTTTTACCCGCGTTTTTTTACTCGGTGAGAGAATAACTGCATATTTATAATATTCTTTGGTCACACAGGGTAGTGTGCGTAAATAAAAAGCTATTTTCTTTCTGTTTTAATTAAAAGGTAAGTATTATTTTCATAAAATCCATTTAATTAATCCTTAAATTTACTTCGAAACAAATATCTAGTACAAATATTGGAGTGTTAAAAGATAATTTTAAATATGTTGTTTGCTTTTTTCGTATACAATGGCACGTCGATGAGTCGATTAGTGAAATGTACTAATTCTTTCAAAATGTCTAAAAAATCCATATACAGAAATTAATTTAATTGGGATATCTTTTAGATCATTATCTATCGGATATTTTCTGTTAATTCACCCAAAAATAATAAAAATATTAATTTATATTTACTAAAATTCAATAAACATTAAAATGCTTAAAATATTTCAAATTTCAAAAATGACTATATATATATATATATATATATATACTTTGTATTCGACATGTAATTTTATGTTCGTTATCTCCTCATTCGATGCATTTCCCAAACATCAGGTTGTCGATAAATGTGTCAATACCTCATTAACCTTCCGTGTTAAAAAATGCTTTTCTTTCATTTTTAAAACCTAAAATAAGTAACATATGTTTCAATTCAGATTGATTAAATTTTAAATCAGTTAATTTTTCTCTAATAATATTTCACCGATATATATATATATATTGTATTTTTGAAAGATTTTGTAATATAGTAAATTATGTTGTGCTAACAGATTTGTCAGTATGGATAATTTTAGCGATTTTATTGCTAATCATGAAGAAAAAATAATTCCAATCAATTTACGTTCCGTATGAAATGCAACAAAGTACTTTACTTAACGGAAATATTCAATTTAATCTATTAGTTTGGAATTAAAAGCTTCAAGAAAGATTTTTCATTTACTAAAATTGTATTTTAAATCTAAGGTATTACTTTTTTTTTCTTTCTGTGGAGATACTGGGATAAATTAGAAAAGTTTTGTAACGGGTCATGTTTCCGACGTTTGTTCGTTGCGGTTTTTTCATTTTGAAATGAAAGATAAAATAGTGTCTTTGAAAAATGCTCTGGGATTTTTGAGGATAAGTGGGGCAATAAATTAAATTACCTTTTCAAATCAGATGATCAGAGACAAAAAAAAAGTGCTTTCTTTTTGTTTATGTTTTTTTTTCTGTGACCAAGAAGATAAAACATTGAAAGTGCTCTAATCTCACAATTCTGAACATTAAGCCTAAAACAGGACCATACATAGTATCACCGATTTTCGTATAAGAAATAACAGCACAATGCGGTATATTGGATGATAGAGGCAACGAAACGGAAATCTACTTGTATCTAAGGAATGTTTCCTTATAAGTAAACAGTTAATAATAGCATTACCAGTAGAGATGAGGAGAACAGATAATACATTTTGATTATAGCCCAGCGAACAGGCAAGGAAGAAAAGCTTAACTCGAGTAACATTAGAAATATCTAACCTGACTATTACTATTACCAAACGCTGTTTACAACATACACTTTTGCATTAATACTTTTTGGTTAAGGATGAATAGATTTTCTTATCACTCCAAGTTAATTAATAATACCATCCTTAGCCATGGGTGGATGTCAGTTTAGTAGAAAGACAGCCTTTGATTCAAAATACTCTATTATCTTCCCTAAGATGTTATTGCGAGTCACAGATAATAAAGAAAAGGAATTTGAGATCCGTGATCAATTATTACTTGTAAAAATATAGAACTAAATTAAGAATATTCCTACCTATGGATTAAATAACAGGATAGACAAGACAATCTAGCCTTCGCTGATAACTTGTCTAGGAAGTGATATCCTCTGAAATCCGAACTGGGAATAAGGCAACAGGAATCGATTTTACTATTATTTCTAAGAAGTCGTGGAAATTCACAGATAGCGAAGTAAAGGAACCGGTTCCATGATCACCGATGCCCTGTTGGGACGTAACAATAATAATAATAAAAAATCACTAGGCAGTTTTTTTTTGTTTTTTTTTTAATATCTACTGAGTATAAGGCTAATTTGCTTTTCACAAGGGCATACTACTATTTCAGCATATTTGGGAAAGAAGATTTCTTTTTTAAATTATTTTAGTTCTCCTAACCCAGACGTTTAGAGCAAAGACCTCACTTCGTTTCGTATGCCATTCCTAAGATGGAAATTCCATTCGAACAGCTTCTTTCCAGGAACCGCTACTTTGCATAACATACACCCGAGAGGATGCTTTCTCGAACGCTACAATCTTAACCTCGTCAAGTCATGTGTTAACCGTTATCTACTTTCAGCAGGCTCATTCTATCACCCTCTACCTTCAGTGTCTCTTGGGCCTAGTACTGAGTGGACAAATAAAAAGAATAAGTATCGAACTCATAACACTAATAATAGCGTGCAAGATCGACTCCATAAAACTCACTCGACTACAGTAACAGTGTGTCTGTAAATCTAATAAAATGTTTTTGTGTCTGTGTGCGTGAGCAGGTCCGCTTCAGCCTGTAGTGTTGTGTGTATTTATGGGGCTGAATTTGCGTAGTGCGTGATACTTAATGTAAGAATGTGTGGGGTACTTAAGAGACGACAGGAAGAAGTGTGGAAGGCAAGGGGGGAAGGAAGTGGGGGTGAAGATAGTGGGGGAAGTTACAAAAAGGCCAAATGTGAAGGAAGAAAAGGGAAAAGTAAAAGCACTAACGAAGAAAAATGCACGCACCTATTTATTATAATGTGTGCGTATATATATGATCATATGTGTGTGTGCGTGTACGTATATATATATATATATATATATATACATATATATATATATATATATAAAGAGAAATAGAAAGCAAAACTTATGAGCAAATCGGGCGTGATAGATTGATATTAACAGACTGCTTGATAGATAGTGAACAGACTGAAATAGATAATGAGCAGACATGTATATATGTGTGTGTATGTGCGTGTGTATGTATATATATGCATATGTATATATATATATATATATATATATATATATATATATATATATGTGTGTGTGTGTGTGTAAAGAGAGGGAGAAAGCAAG